ACATCTTGTTCTCCTTAAAAATAGAAATTTTTAGGTTCTGAAGCCTGTAATTATCTGAAACCTAATACTTTTAGGAGATGAACAAAATTAACAAGGGTCTTGCAAAAATTCTGCATTTGACAATTTTCCCCTTTGTGGATCACAGTGTCCTCAGGTTTATAAAATTAGCAGTTAAGAAATCAAAAATACTCATAAAAGTATCTCTGAATCAACAAAGTTATGTAATTTTATCCACAGTATTTCTTTAAAGTTAAAGATCAAAGTTAATCATATTATAAAGGGAAAATTGTCAAATTTCCAATATTTTAATTTTGCAGAAAAAGCGAATTGGAATATCAGCAATGCATTTTCTAATTGCAAATTGATCAACAAATATATTTCAAGCTAAACAAAAACCTTAGTATCCAAGCATTCAGAGAAATTGTCATTTTTACTTTATTTGGTATTTTTGTCTTCTATTTCCGTCATGTATTCTATAATACATAGTGTAAAAGGCTTTTGTTATCGTTGCACGACACAGCAATTCACTTCTTATTTCATATCATGCTAATAAACATTGGTATCTAAGGTTGGATTGAAGGAAATCGTATTTCTCTAAAATTGTATTAATTTTTTTTCCTTTTATAAGGTACAAATGTCAACTTTTATAAGACCTTTTCTAAGACTTCCAAAGACCTTGAATCTTATAAAGATGAATAAAATGAAAATTGTTGCATGAAAAAAAAATCATTTTCAAGCCTCATTTTGATGCATTTCAAATTAAATGTTAATTTTTGCAGTTATCCTTCCTGGCTGAGGATCGGATATCCATAATTTACCTTCTAAATACTTCCCAGTCTATAAGTTCATTAAAGCTATAACACATTTTAGATAGAACATTCCAAAGAAAGAGGGCGAAGATTTACTCGAGACGACGTTTGACTCGAAATAAATTAAATGCATCGTGACCCGCCCTACATAACTCTAAGACAATTAGACAGAAAACGATAAAATCAAAACGTCTGCATAGAATTGCATTGGGAAAAGAATCATCAGGTCATTAGTATCAGATTATTTCTTCTTTCTGCTAACAGTTATTTTAAATATCAAATAACAAAGAACGGGAGCGCTTTAAATAAGCTTTCGGCAGAATCTGGGCGAACGTAAAAAGTGATATTTTATTTGACATGTCACGTGAAATTTGAACATTTTTAACAGGTTCCTTTGCAGTAAGAAAGGAAAATATTTTCCCGAAACTGAATTAAGATTTGCTAAAAAAAAATAACTTGAAAATTGGATAGATAAGACATTTTGTGAAAATGGTACATTTGAAATCACGTTATTCTATATTTTTTTTTTATCTCTGGGTCTTCTCTTCATGATTTAAATGTGTGCATTTTAATTCAAAGAAACGGATAATTATATTTAATACAATATTTTTTTTAAAAGGAACTTTTTAAAAAAAATGAATGAAAATATGTGCTTCTTTGTCCTTTTAAATCCATACCGTATGTGTAGCGGTGATAGCTCACTAATATCGGCTACCTGTTCAGAGCACTAGAAGGGAAAGGGTATTTTTGGTTCGAGCCTCGCATTGGCGTTAATTATTTTTTAAGTACAAACAATCAATCATCTTGACAGTTTCAGTTTTATGTATTGATGTATTAAAATTTTGACTTTGCTAAATTCTACTTCAGTTTTGTTCTAGAAATCAATTGCAACCTTCTATTTTATGATGTATATATGTACACTAATCATCTATGCCTATATGCCCATAGGTTTTGTTTATTTATTATTTTTTTTGTTAAAAATTGCTGTTATTGTCACCTCCTTGAAAAAACGGTTACGAATGTTACAATCTGATAAGGTATTTCCAAATAAATGAAAAAATCGCTGTGTTTGTATTTGTAAAATCTGACCAGCTATGTTCAGCCAACCAAATTATGGACGTTTAAACCATAAAACTTTCGTACAAATGATTCCTGCAGTGTTGCAACAACTATTGAAAAAACGACCACTATTGAAATAATTATTTCAATAGTGGTTGAGAGTGTATTTTAATAGCAAACACAGGCTGCAACCACTATTGAAAATACAACCACTATTGAAATAATATTTTAATAGTCGTTGGAAGTTTATTTCAAAACCAAACACTGATTGCAACCACTACTGAAATAAAACAAATCAATACAAAACAAATGTAGTAATCACTATTGAAATAACGTTCACTATTGAAAGAATAAACGTAATAATGATTGAAAGAATGAGAAATTTCAAAAAAGAATCCAGGTTGCAACCACGTTCGCTATTAAATAAATATAGGTACACTGTAGGTTATTTTAGTAAAAAAAAGTGTCGATCGTATATTAATTGAACTTTGTACAAAAAAAGAAAACATAAAACAATTTTAATTATCATACTTATACCAATATTTCAAACTCTTTAAACATCTGTTGTCGAAAAAATAAGTTATTGGTTTTTTTAAAAATTATAAGAAAAAGTACAAATTAAGTAATTCTTTATTGAGTGTGTAATGTTGACGTAATGGTGTATTATATAAATATTGCATGTAGTTGAGTGTGACATTGAAAATTTTCACCCCAAAAAACCATTGTCAACCAAGGCGCAGCCGAGGTTGACAGTTGTTTTCGAGGGGTGAAAATTTTTATATATTATCATTATATAATTATTATACTGAATGTTTTATACAAATACATATAACAGTGAACTGTGCGCGCATAAATTTTGTGCTATTTTTTGGAATATCCGTCGTCAATGATAACTGTTGCTACGCTGGAGGGCATTATTCAGCGGGTTATAGTGTTTTCTAACATAAGTTTCTCGACCAAACAGATTCAACTAATTTACATGAAATGATAATATAAATTTTGTTTAAAGATGGTTATTTTACACATCTTTACAGTAAAACTCGGTTAGACTGTGAGATGGCTTAGTTAACTTAATGATGTCGGATTGGTTACTTGAAGATAGCTAAATGTGTTATAGCTTAACTTAAAGACAAGCATTGCAACAATCACTGTTGCACTTGTACATGTTATTTGTATTTCCCGCGTTTTCCCCTATGCCCATTATACCCACAAGTCTTAGTTTAGATTAGTTTTATAATGAGAATGAATTGCCAAACATAGTGGTTTTGCCAAACATATGCAGAGAAACATGTGACTTATACTTATGCATCATTGAAGCGTCAAGGATACTGGTATGACCTGTGCTTGATACATAGACTGAGCTGAGGGGATCATTGTCACAACAAAGGGTTTCACGACTAAGGTCCGGAAGAATACTACATGTGGAGCCCTATATTGGTGGTGAACGGATAACCGACAAGTCTATCCAAGAGCATGTTCGTTAGTTCGTTAAAAGAATTGCCAAACCTAATAGGATTTATTTCATTCCTGCATCGAGAATGATAATGTAAATGATAATCATTGATTTAGGGGGGATGTTTAGCTTTGATACTTTGAGTGAAATATATTACATGTACCCGGGATTAATTGTTTGACTAGTGGTTACCAATTGTTTTTTGTGTTTTTTAACTGTTTCCTAGAGAGAAAGAGTATATATGTGGATCAGAGTGCGGTTGTTTGTGCAAAAAAAAATTATTATTATAGTGTTTTTGGTTTGAAAAAATTATTATTAAAGAAAGCGATGAATTTGTATGCTTTTGGGAGATAGCCATCATTAATCACCTGTAAGCATTTATTATATAGAATTAAAGAAAGTGTTTAGCCTGTATAAATACCTGATTTTTCTTGCCCTTGATTCGGCAAATGACTGTGGTATAACACTGGATTTTTCCTGAATAGTGGTGAAGCAGTTGGTAAGAAATTTTTTTTTCTGTCTTCCCCTAAATTATAATTTGAGAAACACAGCGATAATGTAGAATTCGTTTGAAGACAAAGTCAAGATTATGAAAAGAGATTTTATTCTGATAAACATATTTTAAATCATTCCCTACCCCAAAAAATGAATCTAAGAATTAAAAGAGAGTAATAATATTAATATCTTAGCTTTTAAATTAAGGAATAACTGTCTTATTTTTCGAATTCATGAAGTGATCAATGGATTGGCTTGTGTGATAATTTGCATAAACGCCGCAGGCGTTTATGCATAGAATTATCACACAAGCCAATTTATTGATCATCTTCATGAATTCGAAAAATAAGATAGTTATTCCTTATATTTACATGCTTTGATTCCGCCAATCCACGGGCTCCAAGCCTGCATCTCTCTAGGTGTTGTCCCGCCCTGCACGTGTTTTTTTTTTTTTTTTTTTGGAACCGCGCCAAAACATTCATGAGGAAATCAATTACATTTACAATTGGTGATTTTATCTCGGACAAAGACATTGGAAATGTAAATATGGAGAAAATCGTCTCAATTTTCTTGTTTTTAAAAACCAAAGACTAGTAACTTGCAGAAATTTAAGCCATAGAAGACAATTTTACTACATAAGACTAAATTTGAGCGTATATCAATGGAAGTTTGGGTAAGGTATATGTATCTTATTTCTTGACAAGAAGATTTACAAATGTTCCTTAACATCATTTTTGATGCCCTCTTCTTTTTTAAAACATTAATATTATTATATTCTTTTCATATCAGATGAATGTACATTTAAGTTAATAACCAAAAATTCTTATATTTCTATTAAATTTATAAGGTGGTGTTTTTAATTTTATATGCCTTGTAAATTCATTTGTTTTCCTTTAATTCACATATGGTAAACTAGTCATGTAAAGATAAAAATGAAATAAATATTTAATTAATTCAAATAAATCTATAGTGTAATAGATTTGCTTACAGCATCCATCCAATACGAAGTAGTAAAAAGGAGTATATTATAATTGCGGTTCGAAGTGGGATATTTGAGGTACGAATATCGATACTTAAAATATTGATGCGCATTAGCAAATAAAATATTTTGAAAATGATAATAAATCTGTTAAAAGACTATGAGGAACATCTATAATATTTATATGTCCTTGAATGAAACCGACCTTCAATTGCATTTAGAATTTTTCTTCGTTTCCACAGAGAAAGACCCATTTCCATTAAGTGGCTCTCGGTTATGTAGCCCATTGTTTCCATATCAATATCTTCACGTTTAAATTTATTGATGTCTTCCTTCAGATTCAACCGTTCTAAAAATGTTTCAATGGTTTCGTTTTCCATACTTGTTGAGTCAATAACTACAAATAGAAAGAAAAAACAATAAAAACAAGTAAACTATAATTGTTCAATAAACAATTAGAGACCTTTCCACCTTTGTAAGCGTTTTTATATAATTTTGATTGAAAAAAGTAGGAAAAAAAACAAGTAAATTTTTAAGGGTAAACCATAATTTTAAACATTAGAATTGAATTGGTAAGAGTAGATCTGTTGATTCACTTCGAGCCATAAGACGCACTGACCTTGAACCTTTGAATACGGAATGTATATGGATAGAAGTTAGTGACCCTATAAGTAATATTTACCTTTGCTGTCTATATCGGCCTCCGAATTCTGATAAATCCTTTTGGAAAAACGTAATGTGGTCCATTGAAAAAGTTTCTGATATATCCAATAAGATAATTATCCTTGGAGACTTAAATGTAGATTTTTTAGATATTCCACGCACTCACATTGTTAACGAAATTTTGTCTCAGTATAGCCTTAGTAATATTGTCAATGAAGCAACGAGAGTCACGAGTAGATCGAGCACGCTTATTGACCCAATTCTGGTTAGCTCAGACATCAAGGTGCTTCACTCTGGAACTGTTCATGTTGATAATTTTATAAGTGACCATAAAGGAACATATGTTTTTGTTAAATCAGATATTATTCAAAATCAATCATATGAAAGAAAGGTTTGGTTATATAAGCACGCAGATATAGATAAATTGAATTCTCTCATTGAAAATACTGATTGGAATACGCTTATAATTGAGGCACCTGATATAGATCAAGCAACGAAAAATTTTACATCAACATTTTTGAATAAAGTAAAGGAATGTATTCCAGAAAAATCGGTTGTAATTCGTCCAAAAGATAAACCTTGGTTTGATTCGGCTCTGCGTAAAACACATAGAAACAAGAATAGATTATTTAGTAGGGCCCAAAGGACAAAAAGAAATTCTGACTGGGAAAAATATAAGAAATGCAGGAATAAGTTTAACAATATGAAAAAAATCGCCATTGAAAACTATCATAATAATATAGAGCATCATATTACAGACGCAAGTAAAAATAATTCCAAACTTTACTGGAAGTTACTGAGAGATATATTTAAAGTAAAATCTACTACCGATATTCCTCCTCTACAGTACACCTCTGTTAATGGTGATGCATGTGTGGCTTTGGCTTTTACTAATGAAGAGAAAATAGATGTTTTAAATGATTATTTTGCTTCTATCACTTGTATTGACGAAAACGACGCCATTTTACCTAATTTCTATTCTGTGTGCAATAACCCATTTGATACAGTCTGTATTGATGAACAAGAGATTATAGATATTATTTCAATTATTCCTGTTAACAAAGCAATAGGTCCAGATAATATTAGTCACAAGATGTTGAAATCCACCATGTATACTATTGTAAAACCATTATGTTTATTGTTTAATAGGTCATTAGTTGATTGTATTTTTCCCTGCAAATGGAAAGTTGCCAATGTTCTCCCTTTATTTAAAAAAGATGATCCATCTGTTATGTCTAATTATAGACCTGTGTCATTGTTAAGTTGTATAGGTAAAATAATGGAACGAATCATATTCAAACACTTGTATAATCACTTTCGTGACAACAATCTTTTTTATAAATACCAGGCTGGATTTTTACCAGGTCATTCCACTGTATATCAACTAATAGAAACATATGATACTATTGTTAAATCCATCGATGATGGTGAAAATTGTTGTATGATATTCTGTGATCTGTCTAAAGCATTTGATCGTGTGTGGCACAAGGGTCTCTTGTTCAAACTTAGAACTTATGGTATAGAGGGAAATATGTTTCATTGGTTAAAGAGTTACATAGAGGGTAGATCACAAAGAGTTTTATACAGAAACTTGCTATCTGACGAAAAACCTATATACGCCGGTGTCCCTCAAGGCTCAGTGTTAGGACCTCTATTATTTCTTATATATGTTAATGATGTTGCTGAAGAAATGACAAGTTTTTGTAGATTATTTGCAGACGATAACTCCCTACAACAGTCATCTAAAAATGTTAATACTATTGAAAACAAACTGAATTCTGATCTTAATAAGCTAGAAATCTGGTCGAAAAAATGGCTTCTTAAATTCAATCCTACTAAAACTAAAGCAATGTTTTTTAGCCTGAAAAAAAGTGTTAATTATCCTAAACTTTTCTTCCAGCAAAGTCAACTAGAATTTGTTTCTTTTCATAAACATTTAGGATTTTTTTTCTCGCAAGATCTTAGTTGGTCTACACATATTGATACTATTCTAGCAAATGCATACAAAAAATTGGGCTTGTTAAAAAAACTTAAATTTGTTGTCAACCGAAACACTCTTTCGCTCATGTACACAACCTTTATCAGACCACAGTTAGAATACGCTTCCTTGGTGTGGGGTGGATGTAATATAGGTGACAGCGAAAAATTAGAAAAATTACAATTATGTGCTGCTAGAATTGTCACAGGATTAACTCTGTTAGCTTCTAAAGATGCACTTTACATTGAAACTGGATGGGAACCATTACATGAAAGAAGGAAAAAGACCAGACTAACTACAATGTATAAAATTGATAAAAACCAAGTTCCTGAATATCTCACTGATATAATCCCTAACTTACGATGTAATTCATCAAGTTACAGTACGAGAAACTCGCAGAACTATAACATACCCAAATGCAGATTGCAAGCTTACAAATCAACTTTCGTTCCCCTTGTTATTGAAGAATGGAACTCATTACCTCTTAATGTAAGAAATTCTCCCTCTTTATCTATTTTTAAAAAGTCTATTTCTTTCAAGAAACAAATGCCACCCTCTTACTTCAGTTATGGAAATCGACGCTTAAATATAATACACACGAGGCTTAGACATAACTGTGTGCTTAATAGCGATCTTTTTCGATGTAATGTAATCTTGAGTCCACTATGTTCTTGTGGAAGAGTGGAGGATTCTCATCATTATTTTTTCTCATGCGAAAAATATACAGAAGCCAGGAAAGAATTTTTTGACAAATTTTTGCGAATGGGTAAATTACATACTGTCGATACTTACACCTTACTCTGGGGAGACAAATCGTTAAAAGATTTTGAAAATGAATACCTATTCTCTATTGTACAAACTTTCATAAAAAAGTCAGGACGATTTGGTTGATATAATAATTATTTCTAATTGTAAATCTTATACAGCATGTCTATTACATATGAAATGTATTCTATTGAATGTGTTTTACTCTGATTATTATACATTATTATTATTATATTATTGTTATTGCTATTTGATATTAAGCTGAAACCCATGTATGTAAATATGTTTGGTATAATTTATATGTAGGGAAAGGGCGTAATAAGTTTTTAGAACTTTTGCCCAATCCCATTTGTATAGTATAATCAATAAAATATGTTCAAATCATCTGTTGGTGTATGGCTTAGAAAATCAAGGCCTTACGCTGGGTTGTACTAGCACAGTACTTTCTACATTGGCTTTATCAACTCTGAAAACAATCTTGAGTCATTATCTCCTTTGAGATAAATTTTCAAGTTTGCAAGAACGAGCGCTTCTTGCACCCTTTTTAGCAAACCTATGTAGAAACTTATGTCTCCAAAGATATAGCTGTGGTCGCAAACACGCATGTGCCATGCAAGATCAATCAGCATTCCCATTACTATTCATTTGACGAAAAATCTCCAGATCGAGCTATTAAAGGACTATGCATTCCATCTATCGCCCAGGCCCACTTACAGTTTAGCTCTTGATGACTTTCTTCTACCACACTTGTTTATAAACCAAGGCAAGCTACCGACATATAAGTTTATGTCACCGGAGTTTCAACAACCTCGTTGACAGTAAACATTTCAAAGTACATTTTATCTTTCTTGGAACCTGATCCCACCATGAATTTTTAGTGATTCGTATTTTTTTCTATTCACATATTTGTAAACAGATTTTTGCGATGGATCACAGATCCTTTTCTTCACCATTTTCATCCTTCTGGAAAATATATTTTATATTCAAGCAGATATTTCATAATGACATTGCAAATCTGATGTAACACTAGAAAAATCCAATCTCTATTTCTGCTATAGACGCCAACAAGTACATGTACATGGTAACAGACACCTTCTTTCTTTACACTCAGCGCTCTTCTACAGTTTTTAGGACCCCAGCCAATGCATTTTTCAACTTTAGATAATGAATGTAATAAAGTCTCCTTCTTTGAGTAAAAATTCTATACCATTTTGGTCTTTAAAATCATATAGTTACAAATGTAGTTATTTTTTTTTTTATTTCGTACCAAAAAATCAGTGGATCGGATTTTTCCCCTAATTTCTTTGAGGAACATTTCAAAAGAAAAAGTCTAATATATCCAAACAGTAAAAAAAAATATTTTTAAAAAATACCCTTTTTCTATAAAAAAAAAAATCACAATTCTGAATCTCTCCATCTCCTTATTTTATATAAAAAATGAAGATTAACCAACAGCACATCTGTCTCGTCTGAACTCACAGCAAATAAACATTTACTTACGTGTGTAGATTTACTAATAAGCAAAGGATCACTTCATTTTAAATAGGGATCTGGCCTATAGGACCGGGATTTATACAAAAAGCTCTTCGATTTCCGTTCTGATTTATGACATTAGGCTAAATACACATAACAATTTGTTTTGAGGGGTCTTCAACCTTTAAAAAAGAAAAAGAATCTGACAAACAAAATAAAAGTGTAATTAAATTTGTTCCGAGGTTCCGAACTCATTAAAACAAATTCTATTTCGTGTCTGTGTGTGTTGATGGGGTGGTCTTACTTTTTGGTAGACTTTTCCACAAAAAAAAAATAACTTGCCAGAGCTTGAACTTACAGTAATAAAAATGGAATGGGGGAGGGGCATCTAAATAAAAGATTCACTGAAAAAAAAATAATAAACTCAGAAAAAGTAACCCTACCCCCGCGTTGTACAGCCTAAGAACACTCATACCTTTCCATGAACCACTTTGTTGTTTTAAATTATTACTTATATTTGTTGATCATTTAATACATTTTGATTTTTGTATTCGTGTTCCTAAATTAAAACGGGAATACACCGGCTAACATGCGCACGTTGGTTCCAATAGTACGTTTTATTCTGCTCTACACCCTTGATTGGTAACTCGGATGCATTAATGTGCGATAAAACAAATGAAGATGCTCAGATGTATGAAAACACCAACTATACTGTACATTATTTTTCTACAGAGTTTACTTGTTTCACATGCATTTATTTCTGTAATAATTTTTATCCAACAGTGTAAGAATTTTTTATTTTTTTATATGTACTTCAAAATATCACAAAACAAGTGTCTCGATGTGTTTTGTGTAAAACACTTTCAAGGTTAGGCCCCTAAAAATATGAACTTCAATTCCTGGATCCGCGCCTATTTCCTGGTTTGTACAGTATTTTTTTAGTTTGTTAAAGAAGTTTCCCGAATGGAAAGCAAAATTTTATTGATAATAATGGCAAAAATATGACGTTTGAGCAGCGAGTATAATCAAGTTCATATGTGTTTAGAAACTGATATCTTTTAAACGGAGAGATATATTACATCATCTGATAGCGTTTTAAGTAATACAGCAAGACTAAATTAATTCAAACATGTATCACTATAAAGTGAAAATTAGTAAATTACTTTAGCACTCAATTTTGACATTGCTCCGTGACCCCATTTTTGCTGTTTTAAATCTTCGATAACTTTTATAAATATGACTTCCAAGATATATTATATTTTTTTTACTCAAATTTTTCGAATTTGTTGTAAAAATATTGTACGAAATTTGGATGTAATATGACGGTAAATAAAAAAAATAAAGGGGGGGGGCAAAAGTCTACGAACATTTTGAATGACCCTCGTACACTAGAAAACAACTGAAGGACAAATATAAGGAAGGTCCATACTTTAACAGATCCGGTTTTCATTTTAAACACCATGCAAAAATGGGGGTTTACTTGTTCAAAAGGCTCTTGTGCTAATTTTATCTGATGACGCATGATAGAGTATGTGTTTTTGTTAAGCTTATATATATATATATATATTATTCTTGATAGTTTTAAAGAAAAAATGGCATGTAAACAGTTTAGATTTTGAGGATTATTAAAAATAATATTTCGATATTTTCCTCTGAAAGACGTGGACAGATTCAACATCAATTTGTTAATGTTTTCCAATAGAGATTTCAAACATTCTCTTGGCAAATGATTATTTTTTGAATTTCATAAGTTAAAACATAAAATTTATATGATTTGGTGCATAATTTTTACTAGCTAAATAAAGTATTATATCACACTTCTTTACGTTCAATATTGGCTGTTGAATTTTTAGAGGTATGTACTCGGGGACATGTATGAAAATTAACTTACAAAGATATGTTTTTTATGGGTGTTTTAGTTCGTTTATGACTTATTCAAGGTATTCAAATTTAAAAAAAAGTATCAGTTTGACAGAAAATTTTGAAAGTACGGACCTATTTTGTTGTCCTCCGCTTGAAAAGTGGGGGATATTCATTTGGGTTTGTCCGTCCGTCCGTCCGTCTTTCTGTCTGTCTGTAACGCTTTCGTTTCCACACGATATCTCGAAAACCCCTTGAGCTTTTGCAATGAAATTTAGCATAGCAACTCCCTATGAACTAACAAAGACCCCTATTGATTTTGAGGTCAAAAGGTCAAGGTCATAAATAAGCAAATTCTGTCTGTTATAACACTTTCGTTTCCACACGATATCTCTAGAACCATTTGAGCTATTGCAATGAAATTTTACATAACAACTCCCTGTGGTCTAAGGAAGACCCCTATAAATTTTGAGGTAAAAAGGTCAAAGTTCAAGGTCGTAAATTTATACATTCTGTCTGTGTGTAACACTATCATTTCCGGGCGATATTTCAAGAAGATTTTGAGCTTATGCAATGTAATTTTATACCAAAACTCCCTAGGACCTCTCTTGCCCCTCTCAAAGTGCCCCGCCCCGTTTGTTTTATTAGTATTTATTTTTAGCACAGGGGCATGCGAAGATTTATTGCGTATAACAAGGTTCTCGGCGGACTTTATGTTCTTATTACATCTATTAGAACTGTTTAATAAAGGCTAAATAAATCAAACACCATGGATTGTGTAAAATTTTGACAATACCGAACATGAATATATACATGTATGTGACTTCACTTCTGCATATACTTATTAATTTATATAGCGACTTCGTGGTCTAGCGGTATGTCTCCCGCTTCACATGTGAGAGGTCCCGGGATCGAATCTTGGACGATCCCCTTTTTTTTTTAACTTTTCTCTTTTTTTAAATGATAGTATTCAGCATGTGAAAAGAATAATTTATGAGGTTATAAAATCATCATTACAGTGTAATAAATATTCCATATAAAAAAATCTTCTATACACATAATAAAGAATAAGCAATCAAATCTTTATACGCATATTGACATACATGTATTTTATTGCTGCAGTATACATGTATACATTTACCGGTAATAATTCTACAAATTCAGTCAGGGGGATCCGACTTTTTTCCTAAGCGGGGTACACGAATTCTCTGAATTAGCTTGTTTTGTAAGCAATAATAGTGATAATAAATGCTAGAATCTCTATAAAAGATCGTCCCTGAAAACGGAGTACAAATAAGGAACTCTAGTTTGTTTAATGAAAACTGCACAGTTTATCATGTTTATGCGTGTTGGGATAATCAATATCTAAATCTACACTTTAAGATAAACATGCGCTTTATCTTTGAGACCGGCGACTTCCACCGGAAGGCTCACTATATAGTGAGTCTTCCCCCCGGAAGACTGGCTATATAGTGACCCTCCCCCCGGAAGAATGGCTATATAGTGAGACTTCCCCCACGGAAGTTTCACTATATAGCCGTTCTTCCGGGGGAAGGCTCACTTTATAGCCAGCCTTCCCCCATTCATAGTGAGACTTCCCCCTCTGATTATAGCGCCCGGAACATTGTTTTATTATTTTAAAAATTCTAACAGTGTTAATTTATGACGATATTATCTTCCATATATGTGCATGTATTTATATATATTTATTTTATATGCATGAACAGTTTGAATATCGTTTTAACTGTTTGATATCCATTATAACATATGCATGTATATTGAGATGATATAATATGAGTCACATATATGAAATGTCCTGATTGTTTTCAGCATTTGAATAAAAAAAACTTATAGCATATATAGTTTTGTTTGTTTGTTTTTCTGTTTGTGTACAAACATTAGCTATTAACACATTAGATATGATTCAACTGATTTAATAAAAAAAAATGTTGCGAAAATAAGAAAAATGTATAGTACTTTAAGACTATGCGAGAAATAAAATAATTGTGCTCGAATGTGAAAAATAAAACATGCATATGCATTCCAAATCTCACTTATACGGTGGTATATTTAGGACACGCAATTATTTTTTTTTAAATACCAGAAAAAAATTATCTTGTGAAAACGACATAATTTTCTTGTGGAAACGAGATATTATCTTGTGAAAACGACTTATTATCTTGTGAAAACGAGTTATTATCTTGTGAAAACGATATAATATCTTGTGAAAACGACATAATATCTTGTAAAAACGAGATATTATCTTGTGAAAACGAGAAATTATCTTGTGAAAACGACTTAT